AATAATAGCATAATAACGTTTTAATCATGTTGTTATTTGTCATATTCGCAAAGAAAAATTAGATTAATTGAATTTCAACCGCATCTGCTCTAATTTTATTTCAACAAAAAAACAAAATTTAAAAGCTTGTTTTGTTCATGAGTAGTAGTTTTTTTTAATTTATGATCCTTTTTATTTACTTTAGCCAAGGTTTAAGCTTTATTATGCTTTTGTTGATCACTTTTTAATAAACTTTCATACTACAATAAATTTTTTTTTGATCAAATTATAGACATGAAAATTGGTGAATGCTGAAATATCTTTTTAATGAAAGTTATGATCAGGAACCTAAAACATTTCTTTTCATCTTTCATGTTATCCAGTCATCATTGTTTGAAAAGAAATTTTGAGTCTCCCATAAATTAGAATGGTTCGACCGTCTATGCTAAGATTCTCGTATTGATCGACAAACTATCGCCAGTGAACTCATAATATTTTGTGTATTGTGTGCGAGGATGAAACACATTTCACGTCCAATGGAATAATTGATAGAGGCGTTAGTGCATCTTACCTGTTTGTGTCTATGTAGCTTATTATATGTATATCCTTTGTTTAGCATGCAACATAAAAATGAAGCGATATTCGAATAATTTCCACAAAGTTTGAAAAAAGATATAGCAAAAGAAAATACGAGATGAAAAATCTGTTGGCTATCCTATACCTTTTAAATTTTTATCTCTCAAAATGTCCGATAACGACCAATTCTGAATTTTTTTTCTTTGCTTTATTATATCGATATTTCTCTTTATGAAAATTTTAGACAAAACACATGTAACCTTGTTAAAATGGAGAATTCTGAAGAATCAACCACTGCCAATAAATACTCGTCATGATTGCTACCAGATGTATAAGAAAATGAAACTATATATATCGAATCTGATTCTCATACTGAATCTCAAGTAAATGTGCAAGTATTGAATAGAAAAAATACGATTAATACATTACTACCTCGAGTAGATTCTAATCGTTCATCAATAAATAAAAGACCTGCTTCTGATCATCGGAAAAATGATCTATTGTCATGGAAAAATGATCCAGCATCTTTCTATTCATCATATTATTATGATGCTCTTGGTATGAAACAAATAAAATATATATAATAGCTTGATAAAAAAATTAATGAAAATGATGGTAGTGCCATGCTAGGCTGTCGTTTATGTGAGCCGTATCGTATGATAAAAAACAAGAACGGCAATGAAAATACTTGGGCTACCAAAGGATTTAATGTATTAGCATTAGACAAGATCAAAGAACATCATTTAAAGTGCAGCCCCCACCCAAAAAAAGTTGATTTTTGTCAAATTTATCGATTTTTTTTTAAATAGTGCATGTGATAGAGCATCACGTTCGCTATCAATTGCACTATAGGTTATTTTATTTACGATGGATTTTAAGGGTTTTACAGAGGTTTTTCTGAAAACCTTTATTCAAGAAAAACGACCTCTTTCGAATAATTCAATGTTTTTGTGCATTTCAATTTGTAACGGTAAAATGTATTTCTTTCTGTTGTACAGAATGTTATCTTGACTCTGATTCTGTCACGTAGCGAAATATATATTTATTTTTCTTTTACGTTCGTTCTCTATGCTTCCATCGTGTTTGCTTTGATCTAAAAACAGAATTCGAAGTATACGAAAGAAAGAGGTAATACGAATCTTTTAAACAAATGAGCGAAGAAAATATGCGTTAGAAAAAGAAAAGCAGAAGGTCTATTATGAGGCAAATTCGATCACAGCAGGTGAAAAACAAGAGAATGGATTCATCATCACCATCATCATCATCATCATCATCGGTAAACATATATGATGTGGATGACTTATTGGATATTAATTTAATTATGATTGATTATCGAAATATGATGACCGTTATCTCAGATTCTAAAAATACTAGTTACTTTATTATCATATCATTCATTAATCACATGTCATTTCCTAATTTCTGATTTTTGAGGTCATTTAGAGAAACCTGCTAATAAACTTTTGTCGTAATATCTTCAGCCATAATGAGTTCAAAGTGTCTTTTATTATTTAAGATGATAGAAAAACACTATTACTGGATGAAAAGTCATAAAATACACTTCTAAAAAGTAATTTGGGTTTTTCTCAAAATGAGACTTTTTGTTTTTACGTTTTCGTGCGTCCCAGATTTCTCCGCCATTTTGAAAGCTAGAAAGCTCGGGTTTGTTTTAAATCATAACTAAGATCTGACGCTACAACTTAACAGAGTCGGATTTCTCAATTTTATGATTGATGTCAGACGAAGAGAAAATGTTTGAGAACTTACACCCTACTAATTTCATATCATGATGTAGAAGTTCTTTAAAAACCAAACTATAGAAAAATTAAAAAATCCGACTCTGTTAAGTTGTAGCTCTAAGTCTTGGCTACATTTTAAAACCAGCTCGGGTTTCCTAACATTTAAAATGGCGGAGAAATCTGGGACGCACGAAGACCTTTGTTTTGAACCTTAATCTTAAGCTATCTTTTGAAAGGCTGAAGATTTCAAGCTGAAATTTTTACCATGAGGTGCCCAGTCCAAGATACATATACTCTGGAAATTTCGTTAAGATTAGATGTTCTAAGGCAAAAATAAAATTTTGGGTGGGAGCTGGGCTTTAAATTTACCTTGTTATTACGAAAGAAATACTATTTTCTTTCTTACAAAGATAAAGAAAAAAAATGCATCGTCAACGCTATCATATCGCACATTCACCAGTCATTTTTTTTTGCCAGTATCAATAAATATAGTGAGAGAGAATGTGTTCAGAACAAAAAAGAAATTATTCTCTCGTTTTGATGACATGTGGCAAATGAAAATATATTTCGATCAGATATAATTTCTTTGACCCACGGAAACCTTCGATTAATGAAAATGATTGTTTTTTTTTTATTCATATAATTATTGCTAA